GCCGCTAGTCTCCAGTCCGGGAAGCTGTGCGCACAAAGTCAAGGGCTCAATTGCCAGAACAGACTTTGTGTACCTCCTTTGCTCTCGAAGAGCTTTCACCGTCTTCTCGCAGATACAAAGTCCCTTCCAAACGCTGAAGTTTTGTCCCCTTTTCGGCAAAGCAGAACGTTCCTGAGGCGACAGACTTCAGACTTGTGACACGCAGACAAATGTGCAATCACAGCACCTCACACACGCCATCCTTCTCCCTTCAAGATCCTTTCTGCCTCTGCACTCCTGCTGCGCACCACAATGCCACCCAGAAAGCGCAGTTTGCCCACCACCCAGCAAAACACACTGCACAATTACTGGGGTCCACAAGATGGACAACAGGGCACCTCTCACAATGCAATCAGCTGCTCCATCCAAAGCCCAGAACAATGCCAAGATGGGAGCAAGCAGAACGTTCCTCACGCGACAGACTTCAGACTTGTGACACGCAGACAAACGTGCAATCACAGCACCTCACACACACCATCCTTCTCCCTTCAAGGTCCTTTCTGCCTCTGCACTCCTGCTGCGCACCACAATGCCACCCAGAAAGCGCAGTTTGCCCACCACCCAGCAAAACACACTGCACAATTACTGGGGTCCACAAGATGGACAACAGGGCACCTCTCACAATGCAATCAGCTGCTCCATCCAAAGCCCAGAACAACGCCAAGATGGGAGCAAGCAGAACGTTCCTCACGCGACAGACTTCAGACTTGTGACACGCAGACGAACGTGCAATCACAGCACCTCACACACACCATCCTTCTCCCTTCAAGGTCCTTTCTGCCTCTGCACTCCTGCTGCGCACCACAATGCCACCCAGAAAGCGCAGTTTGCCCACCACCCAGCAAAACACACTGCACAATTACTGGGGTCCACAAGATGGACAACAGGGCACCTCTCACAGTGCTGTCAGCTCTTCCATCCAAGGCCCAGAACAACGCTGGGATGGGAGCGACAGCGATGACGATGATGTTGTCGCTCGAAAAGGGTCACCCAGAAAGAAGCGTGTCGTTCTAACGGACGACGAAGAGGATCCTGCGGCCAGCACTTTGGCCAATTCTTTGGCAACCGCCGCCGCCACCGCCGCCGCCACCGCAAGCGCCGTTGCTGGGTCGAGCTCGCTGCTCGACAGCGGTACGCCGGCTGCGCTGAAATCGCAGCTGTCACCCGCTGCTTTTGAGACGGTTGATCTGGACAGCATTGTGTCCATCTTTGAGTATGTCACCCACAATTTCCGTTTGTATGCGTTCGCCCCTGCTTCCAGCTGACCTTGCACGATACTACACCTTCAACAGAGGCGATCGCACTGATGGAGGACCGGGATATAGACAGCAATTCCGGACACCTGATTCATGGCGCAAGGCATGGCACAATGATGTCTCATCAAATGCCCAGCAGTCTCCTGCGGTCATATTCCCACCATCCAACAACGCGCAGCATCACCAGCTTGGCCTAGAAGACCTCTACAACGCAGCAGTGACTGTCATTTCCGCTTCAAAATTCTCAGCATACCTCCTGAAACTGCTGGGAGCACAAGCTCGCACCAGCTTTGTGGACAGCATCACGACCTATGGACAATCTGTCCTTGATGCTCTTTTCAATGACAGGGGCCTGAGCTGTCTGCAAACAAGCGCACCACAGCAAGTTGCCAACATTGGCGTTGTCTACCACGTCCTGCTTTGCAACATGGACCCTGACAGGACTGGCGCCCACTTTGTGGGCTCCACTTTGTGGGCTCCACTTTGGATCTACAGACAGCATCATCCCTCTTTGGCACCAAATCATTTGGCGCTGCCAGAAGCCGACTCACACACGCTATTTGGAGCGGTCTTTATCGTCCACCTGTCTTCCTGCCCCTTGGTACTGTGCCTGGCACTGACCACTCGCATGCGGAATTGCGCAACCTCTGCAAAGCTCTCAAAAGCGTGTGGACGCTTGTCCTGGGCAGCTATCAGCGTTTGGCACCGCTTCTTCAGAGACGTGCTGCCTACTTTCCGGATGCGCATCTCCTAGGACTCAACTCCTCAAGCCGTCTTCGTGTTGCACGATGGCGTGATGGGTGGAGACTAGGCGAGATGAGCACTAGGACGAACCCATCGCTTGCGCCTGCTCTACGTGAGCTTCACTTTGGCTGGATCAATGGGATGAACCGCACGAAGGCCACAGAGGAAGACAAGAGCAGAGAGTCTGCTCAATGGCAAAGCTGCGGCCTGCTACAATGCCCAGCGCACAAGGCTCTTGCTCAA